TACTACTACCACCACCACCACCACTGTTCATCAAAGCCGAGCCGAGCCGAGCGAAGCCAAACCGCTTCAAATGAGAACTCTCGAATAGGAGGATGATTGTCTAGTAGGAAAACCTTTGTCGAACACAAACCTTATCTAGCGGAAAACCCTGCATAACAGAAAACCGTACAAAACAAAGACATCCCTCTAACAGGAAACCCATATCTAACAGAAAACCGTTTATAGTAGGCAAGCCCTATCTAACAGAAACCACCATCTTGTAGGACACTTTTTCGACAGGAAACCCCATCCAACAGCATCTGATGGGAAGCCGGGCAGGCGAATAGTGTCGACGAACGTTGAAACGGCTCGAGAAGTGCAGTTGGTGGGGTCGACAAGACAGTCGGAGGGGTCAAAAGGAAACTGAGGGGTCACCGGATCAGGCTGGCGCGTAGTAGTAGTAGTAGTAGTAGTAGTAGTAGTAGTAGTAGCAGCAGCAGCAGCAGCAGCGCAGCAAGTGGAAGTGGCCGTGGTAGTCGTGGTGCTAGTGCTCCTGGTAATGCTAGTGTTAATTCTAGTGTTACAGACAGTCTTGGTGCTATCTTTAGTGTGTTGCGAGCAGCCACAGAAGTAGTCACTAGCGGCAGGAGCAGTAGCATCGAAGCCATCTCGATGCTGCGCCATTTTCCCGCCACTGCGTCTGCCCTTTGCACGTATGGCTCATGACACTTCGAACTTCTGAACTTCCAGGCCTGCGCCACCCAGTATGTTACCATCTGAGTGACCGAAACTCTGCGCGTGCGTGAGAGCACCTGGAGCTTCGAGTTGCGGGTCTCGGCTCTTGAGTCGAAAATTGAGGCCTCATTAGGCGCTTCAGTTCTAAGTGCCTGACGACGGCTGTTGTCACAGCAGGGTTGAAATGGCCTCTAGGGCTCTAGAGCAGAGGCTCGTGCGGCCAAAGGCGGAGGATACTAGCAGGAAATGGTTTTGGGAGCTCAACTGCTTTTGGGAGCGGCTGTTGCTGGTGCGAGCCGACAACCCCATCGACAGTCTGTGCAGTTGCAGCCTCCAGACAGGTCACCGACGGCATAGACAAGGCTCCTGAACGCAAGACACGTCAGCTCCTAAAGCTTTCTTCGGGTCCGCCTCTACACTGGGGATGCAGCATGAGCGCTGAGGCCGTGGTCCAGGAGCAGCTCTCGGGTGCGGCGCGAACACCGCTGAGGCCTGGAGTGGATTCGAGGTACGGTGGCAAAACACTCCGTCCGGTCGAGTCCAGTGCCGTAAGTGACCACGACCAAAAAGCTGCCGACGAATTCACAAAGATACCTCGCAGCCCAACTTGTCATTGCAACTTGTCTTTGCTGCAAATCGCGAGACTGGGGCCGAGGCTTCACTGCATCACTGGGCTCGTAGTTCTGAAAGCTTGCGAGGTCCATGTACTCTTCGGGTCCTCAGAACGAGGCTCGGCATCGAATACCCAAAGTCAGCTCCTGACGTTTGCTAGCAGCTTTTGCAGGCTTCTGCATGCTGAACAACTCATACCGGTTCCAACCGCCCTCCAAAGAGTTGAAGATAGTTGGAGCACATGCGACCATTAGCATCCAAGAAGCTCATGACTCGAAATAGCGCCGAAGCCAGCAGGCTCGCCAGCAGCTGGGAACGAGAGACAGGAAAGGTCTTTCGGAGATTTTCGGAGATGTGCATGACTTCAGGCTCAATATGCTTGTTGGAAGCAAGAACCGCACCTGGTAGCACAGGTACATCAGTGATCCTCCTTCCTGCAAACTTGAACTGTTGGTAGCTGTTTGCAAGAGTAAGGTGGGAGGAAATGGTCGCAAGTCCTTGCCGACGACTCCGATGCCCAAAGCTACGGCTGGGTTGAAGACCTGAGCTCCATTTCGCAACGATGTCGTCCCCGAGAGAACTCTGCGCGGCTCCCTCGGCTGACCGCCCGGCTCCACCGGACATCTGCGACGCACCGATGCCAGCAATCAGCGCAAAGCCACAAGCAATGCCCTGAGAACAGTGGTGGGTCTGATCAAAACGTATCGGGACTTCTTCGAAGTTCAGTGAAGGTGACGGGAGACCTGCATGCGTTGGCTTGTGTCTCGCGCAGAGCCCGACTGTTGTCATCTCTGGTTTTAGGCAATCTTACCAGTGCGATTGGTGTCACGGATTATCTTCGGCAATCTTGACTTGGCAAAATACTCAGACCTGCCGAAGCTGGCATGCAACAGATCCACTCCACCCCTCTCGCCGCTTCGGAGTTGATGTCCACATACCCCCTAGCGATCTGGGTCCGCCCGCGTAGAACTGGTTCGGCTCATGGTCAGGGTTGTTCCGCCGGCTGTAAACCTGGGAGTCTCTGGTGATCATCTTTTGGTCAGCTCAGACAATGCCACCGGGATGCACAAAGGACCACGAAGTCGAGCATAGCCGTGTAGATCATCTCCACCTCGATAGTATTCAAAACAAGCCCCCAGATCCCAATCTTGAAAGCTACGTGCGAGGCACCGTGATTACCTCGCCTACCGTCCACCAAATCTTGCTCATCCCAAAACGACATTCCAATACATTCCACAAGCCCCGGTCAGGCAAACTGGTGAAACTACGTCTGCAAGGGGGCCATCACACACTTCAGAATATGCCATGGCATCCTTGCTGGCAGTGGGTTGCAGCAGCTGGCGGTTCTCTTGCAGTCCTTTCGCGGTTCGTGCTCTTGTGGGTGCGTGGTGGGTGGTGGCGGGTGGCGGGCCGGCACGTGGCGGGTGTCAAAGGCTTGCTAAGAAAGGGAACAGATTCAACACACCACCGTCACCCCTGTGCCGACATTGCATTGTCTAAACATGAACAAGTAGTGAATGCCAGACCAGCTGTCTCCCACCTCCCTTTCCTCTCTATCCCGATGCTCGGAGAACTAGGGCACTCTAGGGCCCGCCACCAAGCATGCTTGAGTCCAGCTGTCTCCCACCTGCCAAGAAGCTGAGGTGGACAAAAGGCCTTCACCATGCTCCGAGCCTTGGGAATGATGGTCGGGCTCACCTCCAACCGCGCCAACCCAGGCACACCGCAAGAGCTGTACGCTTTCATGGCACCTCGAAAAGTTGACGAACTGCCAATAAAGCCAAGATCGCAGCAGCGCACTGCGAGATGATGTAGGCCTGCGCTTGGCATGCTCTGTGATGCGCAAAGCCGAAATGCTGGAAGCCCGGCACACGTGGTGATGCCACGTAGTTTACCGGCCAGAAACCTTAGCATGAAAGGGAAGTGCGGCTTGCGGCTCGGAATGGAGCAACTGGGGCAGTTCTACTGTTGGCTGAAGCTTTCGGGCGGGACTTTTGGTTCTCACCAGTCCTGCTTACGGGACAAGCTGCATTGAGATGGAAATCGACGGGTTCAGATGGCCACCAGATACAGAGCCAAACGCATACATCATTACCTCAGATCATGCAAAAACTTCAAGGCCGAATTGGTGATGAGCATGTCGGAAACAGAAAGTGTGATCTACGGTGCTCTGGATCATCTCAGTCACCATGGAGGCACACGCGATGGAGATGCTCGCCCAGTCCAATGCTATTCCGGACAAAGTCGTGCAGCCGACCTCCGGGGCAGGGCATGCTCTGGCCTAGGCGACTTAAGAAGAGGGCCACGAAAGCTAGGGCAAAAAACGGAAGCAGAGTCGACAGAGCTCAGTCGTTACGGCGTGCATGCTCGGACGCAGTCAATCAATATCTCTATATATACATATATATATAGAAATATATAGCCTTATAGCCATCAAGATTGAAACCTACAAGATGATAGTATTCTTCTGCATTGCACTGCGTACATACCCTTGTCGTAGTACCTTGACAGATCTCAGTGCATCTCAATGCGCTTCGGACGTCCCTGCATAAGCAACACCTCGGCCATCTACGGGCAGCTTCGAAGTGCCTGGTGGCAGCTTAGCTAATTACTGAGGCATCAGATTTGAAACCTGCTACATGGACGCACCCGGCTGCGTAAAGACAAGACAAAAATGGACCTCAATGGCGGCTAGGCGGTGTCCAAAGCGGGTCCCTCTCCCCAGTGTAAAAGGGCCTGATAAGGTCCTGGACGCGATTCTGCTCTGGGTCACTATACCGCTTAGGTGAATTGGTAAACGATAACAGAGCTAGCTTTCGTGATAACCTCGTCTAGTCAGTTTAGTCCTAAGCTGTGAGGCAAGGGACGGTGAAGGCGACCACGAAGGTCCCGACGAACTCGGCAGTGAGCGCTGTGAAGGTCAGTGGCTTCATGGCCAGGCCAAAGAGCCCTGCAGGGGATCAGGCCTAAAGTGGTCCCACACATCACTCAGGGAGTAGCAGGAGAAGCCAAAAAGGCGGGTCTCACCGGCCTCAAGGGGCCCAATCGCCCGGTCAGCTAGGTTCGGTTCTCGGACTGAGAGCACATTTGGCTGCCAGGGAGGGTTTTTTGCCAAGAACCCAAAGCCCTTGCACCCGAAACCCTGCGCAGCGTGCACCCTCTACCCCAACAGAGGAGGTGCTATTCGGCGCTGGAGTTGCGAACTGACTGATGCATGGCGGACCTGATCGGGTCCGGCCTTTCCACGTGCCTTGTGCGGCTGTCCCGCGGTGATCGACCAAAGTTGGGGAACAGTGCATGCTCTGCTGGCTTAAGCCTCGCAGTTGTTCATCCTCCGGCGTTTGCAATCTAAAAGTTCGGTGCACCACATGCACCACTTTGCTGTGGGCCTGCACGTGCATGTCCGTATCCGTACACTCCCGCATGCATGCTTCCAGGTATGTGTGATATGTGACATATATGTCTGTAGCAACAAATGGAAGATTGACAGCCAAACAGAGAGAGCAAGGGCTCGCGGCAGCAAGAGAGTGTGTGACACAGACAAACAGCGAGCGAGACCACGAGCGAGACGGCAAAGGAGAGGAGAAGGACGATGTCCAATCGTCGAAGCAGCCCAGGTACAGAGTTGGAGTGGCTATGGGTTTTTCCTGACCGCCCAACGGTCAATGATTTTTTTCGTGGTTTTAATGCTGGATACACAGCCGTTCCGGTACCTCAAACCCTACGACTGCAGAGACGTGAACCGACGGGGAGCTCACAATGCTTCAAGGTCAGGACAGTGGGCTCCAAATTGTGGGTGATGTGATGCTGTACAATTCATTAGCCTTCATGCGATCTGTATCATCTGGTCACCAACCTGACCCTGCCCTATATGTGTGCCCTCCTCCACACTTGCTGCGAAGCCCTGCGGAAGTTGGAATCCCGACTTTTTCACTAAAGCTCCGAATTCGACAGCAGGTCAGGGCAGCTCAAAGCGATCCCTTTGGGACGACTGGCCGTGTCCTGCATGCCAGTTTGCAGTGCTGCGCACCGAGCCCCTTTGGAGCCCCTAAAGTGCGATGCTGCGTGTTGCTGGGACGAGGCACCAAACTGTTATTGGGATTGGCTTCGGGAGCAAAGGGTTCCGGGAGCAGGGGATCTCGGGATCTCCATGTGCCCCAGCCTCACTGGAGGATAACTGCGCCGAAGCCTAATCGATCTGGGCAGCATGTCACTGCTGCGCAGCCGCCTCTTGCGCAAGCTGCGTCATCGACATCTCGGCCAGCTGGGCACATGCAGCACGTCTCGCTCTTCGCACGGATCCTCCTGCTTCTGATAGTCATAGGCTTATTTGAGTCGCGGGCTGCGCGCTTTTGGAGTCCTGGCAGGCTGCGCAGGCGGAGTTCTGCCAGCCAAAAGAACTGAGAGCACAGATGCTTTTGCTTTTGCAGAGTGCACAGTGCAGCCCAGCAACGGACCGAGAACCCATACTTCGGAACCATGTAGCCCTGCTTCTTGAAGCCTCGCATGGCTACATCCAGCCTTAGAGGCCTTCCGACTAGCGACGTAGCAACTACCCCCCACCTTTGGCAACTTCTTGGATGATGGACTTGGAGGTCTCCCGCGGGTCGAGGAGTTCGTTGCCCTTCGCATCCTCACCGCAGTTTGGGCTGCCGCGAGCAATGCTCGCTCTGTATTCACGGCCTTGCCCTCGATGATGTTGGTCTGGATCTGGTCCTGGGCACGAACCTCAGATCACCAACAGGCCCGGGGCAATTCCTGTCTGCACGAAGCTCTCGGAGCGGAGCCAAGGCCCGGATCTTGAGCTTGCCCTGCAGCGACCTCCACAACACAGTCAAGTGCACTCAGCCAAAACTTCGGAATCCCCAATACGTGGCCACCTCCTGGTGACCCAGTGCGGTCCGCACTGCTGGGTTATGAGTAAGCAGTGAGCTTATCGTGTTAACATTATCTAAACTAGGGTTCCTTTTTAGACTCCTTTTGATAAGGGTGTCGTACTATTCTGGGGACCTAAAGAGAGACCCTAATATGGAGAACTACCCACGTGGAGGATCACTCCGATGGATCGGAAAGGCTGCTGCTGCTTTCGTGCAGTGTCGTGTTGCTCGGTCTGTTTTGCCGTCCGTGAGCCAACGCCTTCTACTCCTTGAATCTTCGTGAGACTTCCGAAGTCCAAGAACCTCGCGACCGAATCAGGGAGGGCTCGCTTGCTTGGGAGCCTTTGAGAACTCAGAACTCGCAAGGTTCCCCGTGCCCCGTGCCCTCCCCAATCAGAAAAGCCCCCTTTCGCACGATGGCGCATGGGATCTTGGCAGCAACTTGGGAGCCGGGCTCCAGCATCTCGATCTGCAGGAGCTCGTCCATATCGGGATCCTGTCTGAGAGAAAAAACGCAGACTCGGACCCGAAAAAAAGCCCCGCGCGCCCGTTTGGGCAGTGCCTCCAAGGGCTCGCCGCTCTTCTCCGCCTGCGGAGCCAAAGGGCCCAGCAGCTGCTAACGCGCTCTCTTTTTCAAAGAAATCCAAGAGGGGGGGCGGATCCCATCGGTGGAAAAATCCCCAAGGCCTGCTCGATGATCTCTCTGCGTCGCTGAGCGGCCTGGCACATCCAATGTCAGGGGTTGAAGACATACACTCACCTCGGGGTTACAGACCACCAGGTAAACTGCGTAAGTTCACCTCGTGCTTGGGCTTGAACTACGTCAAGCCCTTCTGCAATATTCTGCAATGAGACCCGACTCTGACTTGCGGAAGGCACGACAGATGCAAGCATCAGCACGCATCACTTATCGATCCTATCGTCAGCCCGTTGCTAGCAGCGCCTCAATGGCCCAGACGCTGCCCGGAGGAGCCCGTGCTGGCAGGGCACGCATCAAAGCCTCACCGAGGCTGCACGATAGACTTGAACCCAGAGTCGGCTTTGCTGTGCCGCAGGAAGGTCTACCCTCATTACGGTGAGCACCAGTCGGCACGAGTAGGCATGATTTCGGCGCTGTGCTTCCAAGAGACGTCTGTGACAGGCTTCCGCCAGACTCGATCGAAGTCTTCCTGACCAGACGTGCCGAGATGCTGCGAACTCTTAGGGGCCGCGCCGGTTTTTGTTTCATGCCTCGTCGCGCTGGCCGAAGCCAATGGCACGGACCCACTGCTGCAGCCCGAAGACATCCTGCAGTTAACGACGGGACAAGGACGCCGCATCGAAGCTGAAAATCGCCGTGCAGATCAGAATTCTGTTGTGGCCTCCTCCTCGAAGTTCAACTCCTCTTCCGTCGCCACGACCACCTCGCCTCGGAGAGAGTCGCATGGTCGAACTTCGAAGCTCTGCATGTCGACCCACAGCGGCTCTGAGTGGCTGGCCGACGTCCTCAGCCTCTCTGGCGGTGAAGCCCGAAATGCCACTGCTGCTGCTCTCATCTTCTTCCGCTTCTGGCATGGCACTGCGATGCACTGCGATTCTCTGGTTGAGAGACCCTGCAAACAATCCAGGACTCCCAAGCCTCTTCTTGCAATCTCCTCAAGCTCTCGCCGGTGGAACTCTTCGTGGGTCTGCCCGAAAGCAAGATCTATGTTCATTGCAGCATTCGGGCCGAGCCGGAAGATGCCGGGAACTTCAGCAACAGAAGCATGCTCAGCTGCTGGCGATGCCCAGTTCCTTGGCCTTGATCTTGTCTTCCCTGTGCGGTACAGGGAAAAAAGCAGTTCCGCCAATCCCTGAGCGCATCCTGAGCGAAGGTTCCTCCAGATCCCAGTCGAGCCTGTATTTGGCTTGCGCTGCCAACTGCTGCTGCTTTCGATAGATAACGTTCCACCGATCTGGCTCCTCAGGAGATACAAAGCCCATCAAAGCCCCCAGAAGGGTGGACGCACCATCTGAAACATCGTCTGAGGGCTTCCGAGGCGCCTCGGCATCTGCCCAGCGAGCCTTGAAGGCGTCCGCGCCGAGGCCCTGGCAGAGAGAGCCGGCTCCCGCCTCCCTCTCCTCCACTCCTCCTCGTTCCTTCCAGCCTCCGCCACTTCCAGCATGTTCCGGACCTCCTCGCGCAGCCGCGGGGTGAGCCACTCCTCGCAAAAGGGATAAAACAAATTACCGCTGCAAAGCGCCATCCAAGCCACTGCATCTGAGCCCCAGGCTCCGTTGCCTCGAAGGTCCTGCGGTCGGATGTTTTGCGTCTCGATCCGATGGTCCTCACGGCAGTGAGGTTCTTCGGAGAAACAGCGCAACAGGCTCTGTCTTCGCGGTGGTAGCTGCGGTGCTGCAGTGGTGGCGGAGGAGGCGGCGGCGTTGGCGTCGTGGTGTCGTGGTGTTGTGGTGTCGTGGCATTGTGGTGTCGCGGAAGTTGAGCCAGTGCTGGAAGTGTATGTGACAAGCAGAACACGGTTAAATTTAAATAACCAACAGCTTTCTAGTAGTCCGCAGCATGATGTCGCTCGGAAGGCGCAACTGCCAAGAAGTGGACTGGGCTCCGTGCCCCCTTCTTCGTCTCTTCTAAGGCCCTGCGTAGCCGCAACGCAGCCTGGCACGAACCGATGCTCAAGCGCTGTAGCCTCTAGCTGCAATGTTAACAGCCGAACAATGCGAGGCACACAACTCATGGTCCGCGAAAGAGTTTCAACCCCTGCCTGGCGGATGATCCATTCTGTATCCTCACCCCCTGCTTTCACCAGCGCTGCCTCGAGGATGACAGGTGGAAAGCGTGTCAAAAAGAAGGACGACACGGATTCAGGATGGCCAACTCAAAGCCTAAGTCTAGCACGGTCCGCGGAAACTATGTGGCTGCATAAACGGATAGCTATGATAGCAGCACGACTTTCGAGCCGTGGCAAGGCCTACGTCTCGTTTTCTGCTCGGAGCTGTGCTCTGCTGCCAACCCCAGCCCTCAAACAACAACCGAAGGCCTGCCAGTGCTTCTCGACGGCAGAGCCAGCCACTGGCATGCCGGCAGGCCTGAGCATGGAACTGGGCCCTGCAGGAACGCAAGGACTTGCACAGCCCGCGATGCAGTGAAAGGAAACGGCGGCAAACCGGGGCACCAGCGCCGAGAGCAACGCGAGCTCCTGGCGTGCGATCTCGGAAGTCCCCAAAGCCCAAGGTGGGCTTTCGCTGGGAGCCAAGCTCTGAGGTTCGCCAGCACAGAGAACACCTGAGAACGCGAGCTTAGCTGGCTTGAGCTTTCCGAGCTGAAATCTTCACCGAGGTTGCGGCAGCACTGATGACGGCAGAGTTCTGGGACAGTGTTGCAGCACTTCTTTATGCAGCTGCAAGCCTCAAGCCCACCGCCGTCCTCATTGTGCGTTCGCAGGGTGCCGATGAGGGCTGTCTTCATGCTGGACAAATGCTTGAAAACCTGGCGGACGTCCCACCAGAATACGAGACGCCTAGTTGCACAAGTGTAGGTGTAGGATTTGACTGCCACCACAGACACAGGGCTGACAAATGCCAGGTGTGCAGAGTGTTTGGACCGCCTACGGCAATGGAGCCCCGAACGCCCTGAAAATGCTCGCACTCCTGAAGAAAGGCACCAGGACCCAGGATCACGGGGCCTCTTCAAACTGCCTGTCTTCCTCGACGACGGTGTGTCGCAGCTTGAGCTGACGAAGGCGGAAGGGCAGCGGAGACACAGGAGTCTGACATGTCTGACATCTGCAGCCTCCACGTGGTGACACCGGTTCCGGCCCTGGTCATTCGCCTGCAGGGGCTCCACGGCTGATCGGCTTTGGGCAGAGAGAAACGTGCTGGGGGAAGGCCTTCTGCACGTTCGCCTTGTGGTGCCTGGAGTGCGTAGAGCAAGGCTTTGCCTCCGAGACGGCTTTGCCTCAAGCCGCCGACTCGAAGATGAGCAGACACAGGCGACCTGCTGCAAGGGAACTCTGCCTGGCCTGGGCTCTGCCCTTGCCCTGGCCACTCGTTTTAGCAAAGACTCTGGAGAGCGGTGCAGATAACGTGGCAGTGGCGCAGGCTTTGATGGCGATGGCAGGTCGGTCCTTTGCCGCGTGGCCGCGGAGAGCCTGAGAGAGATTCCCTGGGCCGTGTTTTGGCATGTTGGGGTCTAGAGTCTAGAGAAGTCCGAGTCCATGACGTCCACCAGCACCTGACACTTGAGAGACAAGGACTCCAGCCTTGCAGCATCAGAGGCAGCTCATAGGCCCCGTTTGCAGAACAGAACTCCAAGGAAGGGCCCCCCGCTTTGGCGAAGCTAAGGCCACCGCGAGCCCATGGCCTGGCGCTCCTCGACACAAAAGATGCTTTTGGGGCTCTACTCCAAAGCAGAGTGTGGGAGCTGCTGAACTTAGGAAAGCTTCTACAAGCTCGGGATTGCTCTAAGCTGAAGGCTGAAGACGTATGCTCCATTCTACCATGCCGGTTTTGATCAAGTCACAAGATTGCGGCCTGGCCCACCGGTACCTCCACCCTTCCCATCTTGTTCCGCATCCTGGGAGCAGTAAAACTCACACAGTGGTATCAACAACAGCAACAATGCTTCTTGAAATTGAAGACGAGCTCAGAGCAATTGACTGAACACAGATGCTCAGAATCATCATCACGCCGTACCAATATGCTGTCGATACACTCACCATGGCTCTGTACTTGTTATTTGATCTGAAAACTTACGCTGTTTGTTTCTTGATCATAAGCCCCGCTCCAACAGGCCGGAGCCAGAACGGGGAAACACCATAACAACAAGGGCAATACGTAAAGGTGATCAGGATCACGGTTTCAGGCACATGTATTATACGGTCTGGACTCGACGCAATCATCGACATCGGCATCGTCTTCGACTTGGACATCGAGTGCATGGGAAACATCATCACCATCATCATCGTCATGAGCGACATCACTGTCATCGTTGATCGCCATCGCCATCACCATGCAACCATTATCATGATGATGGTGATGATGATGATGATGAAGACGACATGTAACATATCGAAAGACATGAATAAGAGTCGCAACGGTAGGAACAACAGTAGTTGACATGATATGACATGATCATCCTTGTCATGGTGAGATGATTTACAATCAACCAACAGGCAGGCTAACAAGAATGACAATAAGAACAACAACACGCGGAGTGACAGGCATACTGGTAGCAGGAGAAATAGACTGTCAACTGCCAGCTTGGCTAACATTGGCATTCGTCATTAGCCATTAGCCTCATTAGCCACAAAGTCATCACACAGATCCAGCCGACCGGCCTGGGCGGTTTTTTGCCGTCCTCCTCAGCACCGCAAATACACGTTGCAGGTATCTAATGCAATGAGTTAATACAGGTCGTCCGGTGTACGGATCGCATTTGCAAGCGCAGTCAGCGGCAAACTTAGGCAGCAACCCCTGCATCGGACTCTGATTCTTCTCCTGTACTTGTTCTTTGCCCCCGCCCCCGGCGCATGTCCTGACAAGTGATTTCGCTTCAGAGCTGACTTGCATCGGGACCTAAGCAAATCTACAGTCGTGCCTTCTCTGCCTTTGCTTCCTTCGCGGCATCGAGAAACTCTTCACCCATGTCCTGTGTTCGATAACTGACCGAATCCCCCTCTGAAGCTCGAGCGGTGAAACTGCTGTCAGCAAAGAACAGTCACCAGCTCATCAGTGGACTTCGCAGGTGCAAGCGATCCAACAGCTTGTTCATGTGGTAGGCGAAGAAATTGCCGGAGAGCTGCCGCCTCATCAGGACACTACAGGTCAATTGCCTAGGCCCGAGCAGGCTTTTCTTGGCTGGCAACCAACGACATTCTCCTCTGTCGTGTGAGTCTGAGGTGGCAGCAACGCGCCGGAGTTGCCAACTACGAGCAAGAGCAGTGCCTCCGCTATCAAGCCATGCATGACATAGGAGGTTCGAAGTATTGGCTCGAGTTTTGTGCAAAACCAGGCAGGGGTCCTTTCTTTGGAGCTTGTCCGCAAGCCACGATCTTTAGACGCTTTAGACTAGCGGCTAGAAGTTTCAGGCTACCTCATGGGGACGAAATTTTAATACACACCCACGAAAAACCTTGCCACCAGAGACCTTCTATTGACAACAACGTACCTCCCACTATGCACACCGGTGTGCCCTGCGGGCCTGCAAGGCTGCGTTCATCACACGCCCACCCATGACCTCTCCAAGCTCAGGGCTCTCCAGGAAACTCCAGCCTCGCACTCTCCTCCGAGCCCAGCTGAGACCCTTTTGAGCTCCGACACTCCGACTCCGACGAGTCGCCCGGCCCCGGCGCCTCTTTGTCCACGAGCGTCTGCCAGGCCTCCGGCGCGAGGCTCGGAGGGCGCTCTCGGGATGATGAATGCTGCCCTTTCTGAGACTTCGAGAAGATGGGCCACACGGCCACACGGTCAAAGAGAAATGCAATTAAGACTCAAGTTCCGCAAAGATCCGGGGTGTGTGCAAACGCTCAGACAAGAAGCTCAGCCCGCACCCATTCAGCTTGGATTTGTTGGAGTTTACAAGAAGATTCAGGCGAACACTTCCCTTCTTGAAGCCATCGCTTTCAGCTCCAGGGCTGGAAGGAAAGCTTTTCTGAGAATCCGGCACCTCTCAGCTCAAGGTTGGCCTGGACCTTCATGATACGATCCTGCGCGCTAATAGCTGCACAAGCTTGCAGACCTATCTCCACACACAGCACAATCCTTAAGGCCCATCTTGGAGAAACCGCCGAAGCCACCGTTGACCTCGCAGTTGGCACATGCAGAGCAGGGCCATTGAGGCCTGCAGAGGCAGCAACGAAGTCTCCTCTCTCTAACTGTCGCTTTTCTCTGTTCTTTTGGGATACCGGGCTGGCGCCCGCTCACGAACCAGTCCCAGGTCAACCTCCTCCTGTCGCTGGCGCCTAGAGAGGGCAAGGCACGGCCGAGCCCGAGGCCCAGCAGGAGGAGGTCCAACAGTTCAAAAGCAGCTCTGCTCTGGTGCACCCCTTGCGACCACTTGAGCAGAGGGCTTCATCTCTGCCTCCTTCAACTTTTCCTGGTGATTTCAGCTTTGGGCGCAGTGCTAGGGTCACTTAGTCTTCCCCGCTCGTGCACGTATGCGAACAATGAATCTCCTGCATCATCATGTGCGCTCTGTTTGCAGAGCGTCGCACCTGCGACAATGGCCGAATGGCTGCCGAAACACATTCGGTTGGCCGAACGTGCACCTCCTTCATGTGCAGGGTCAAGATGTCCACTATCGTCTCCATCCTAAGATCCCCGCAAGCTGCGGGAGGAAAGGATATCGAAAGACAGATTCACGTCATGGCAAGTACTTCAGAGCTGGAAGCACGGGCCCAGACGCTCCTTCCCGGCAGAGGGAGTTCTGACAGTCGCGGTGGGCCTTCACCCGCACCTGGAAGCTTCGGATCGCAGGGTGCCCCAACAGGGCTCCCGAGGGCCCGAGCCGGCTTCAGATCTCCGCTCTGTGCTGCCGTTCCGGAGCCTCGAAGGCTCCCGTCTTTCCGTTTTCCCGCTGAAAGGCCATGGCCGAGCGGCAGAGGTGGCCGATGAGCAGGCATCCGGCCTCGGAGACCTCGGCACCTCAGAGATCACATGGAGGTCTTCGTCGCTGGCCCCTCCGGGCCCCTCCGAGGCGCCGGGCTGGCCAAGTGGCGTTCCATGGATCGCATGATGAGCTTCACGTTGTCCAGGTTGTCCCGCTGAAGCGCCTTAAAAGGCGATCCCGAGCTCCGACGTGACCCGGCCCCCGAGGACTTCCCCACCTCCGCCGCGAGAGGTGCGTTCTCCACGCCGGCTGCCAGGAGCCGCACCTAGTTTAGATGCATGTGCACACTGGCTCCATCGGGTTCGCATTGCAGGACTCCTGCAGAAATCCAAAAGAACCGCAGATCAGTTTCTAGTGATTGTAGTGCCTAGAACGTCCCGAAGCCAGCAAACACACCTGCTCGCTCCGATCTGAGCCCTCTGCCACATGGGTGACGATCTGCTCGTCCTTGGCAGCTTCGGATCGGTTGCATTGGGGCAAGACCGTAAGCTAGGTTACCAACGAAATGTGACCACTCTCCGGAAGTAGGTAGACAAAAATAGGCACCGCACATTCAGCCTGAGCATCATCATGTGACAAGCCTCACCCACCCGGTTGCAAGGCTCCACACATCTCGTTCAGCATGTCCGGACTTGTGGTGATCCTTCACTCTGAGATGCCGGCATGCCGCGACCCGCCCATCCGCACGAAGGCCTGCTGCACGTCAACCTCAGATAAGCTCGTCGGAGTGAAGACTGTAGCCAGGCTAAGGCGACTATTCGGATGCTGGGTCGTGACCGGGGGACCACCTTCCTTTTTCATCCCCGCTGCAGGGCAATGGCACCATCTTTGGGTGATCTCTCCGTGCGACGGCTTCGCTCTGCATCCGCGTAGACTGTCAGCAGGTCGTTGCAGATATCCTGAACATTTGTGCTAGTGCCCAGATGTTAGTCGGGTCCGTCATGATGAAGAGGAGGGGTTAGGAGGACGACGACGCAAACGACGAGACGAGGACGACAATGATCACGACAGCCAGCAAACAGCAGGAACAAAAAGATCAAGGACCGCGGCCCACGCCATCGCAAAGTTGAAATGCCTTCTCACAAATTAGCAACTTCTTGTGGTTCGGACGTTTGAAACAGCAGGCAAGGTGAGCTGTACACTGCCTCTACAACGGTGGAGCCTCAAGGCTTCGCCGTCACCAAGGTAGCACGGTTCTGTTCTCAGGTGCAGTTTGCCTCGCAAAGGCCGGGTTGCAAGAGCGAGCATGGATGCACCTCAGTCAAACCGACTTTGCCCAGATACCAAGAGTCGCAGCGGCTTCGGTGAAGCGGGCGTTTCTTCAAGCACAGCGCAAGGTGATGTTAAGAGCTGTGTGCCTCCTCTACAACAGCGGAGCCGTACGGCGTCGCAGTCACCAAGGTTGCACGACCATACTTTGAGGTGCAGTTTGCCTCACAAAAGTATGGTTACAAGAGTGAGCATGGATGCACCTCACGAAGTTCGAAGGGTTGTGCGCATTCAGTCCGGTACGTCCAGTCGATCGGCATCGACGTCGTCGCATGTCCAAATTGAAGCCCCTAAACCTGCCTCTGTCGTCCGTGGACCAGTTTAGACAATCGTGAGAAAGGAAGTAGAGGATGAGGCGAGGGAGACGAGCATTCGTCCCTTGACGCCAGCACCACCTTCCTTGGAGAGACTATCTTACGAACTGTCACATTGGATCAAGGGGTATTTCCATACTAAACATCTGCAAGCCAGCAGCATGACAGCTTGATGACTTGGCAGGCATGGCAGGAAAACACTGACAAACAGAAGTAGGGAAAGACACCAAGGAGGCAAATCCTCAACACATTATCTAGCACGAACGTGACTTTGTTGAAGGTCCCGATTTCAATCGTGGCTACAGCCGCTTCTTGGTTGGAGCACTGGCTTCTGATCTGAATGCCTGCACCTAGCACTCGACAGCGCAGCCTGAGTGACACAGTTTGTGACTTCAGCCATCCGTGTTGCTTCAAGGACGACGGCAACAACTCTGAAAGGCTACACTCAGCTCAGACTTCGGAGTCAAGGGCCGAGGCGTGATCCGGAGGATGCCGTGGGAACGTCTACGTTGATCATGGATCAAGCTTGACTTTAAGCTCGGTGTTTGGCACAGTCCGGGCCCCCACCTCGATCTCGTCGGCCCCGCGGTCCTGGCTGAGTCCCAGGAAGCCTTCGAGCTGAGGCTCCTCAGCGCAGAGCGCAGCGTGCGCAGCGTGGCAGCAGAGCCAGGCTTTCAGCTGGGGCGTTTGCGCGTAGCAGGCGATCCAACCTGGTGGCGCTTGCTGGAGGGAAGTCGTGCTCACGATGCCCAAGGCTAAGACGGATTTTCGATGACTGGGGTCCAGATCGAGATCGGGTCGGGAGCCTCGTGCACCCTGTTCGCTTGCGGTTTGCAACGTACCGTATCTTTGTTTCCACATGCAAACCTTGGCAAGGGATCTCTCTCAGGTCAGCTTGTCGTCCCGGCAGCCTTGAGCAATGCTTTGATAAAGACGAGTTGACATGGTGATCGTGTGCCGCATCAAATAATAATACACGGCTTGCGGGAAGCATCATGACATTAGTGACCTTGTGTATCTGGTATACCCGAAGTACTCTGGCAGGCAGCTCCCCCCTAAAATCGTGGCCTCTGGGCCAGCCGATCTGCAGGCAACTGATGTTCAGGCACCTGACCGGGCTGGTCAAGGAGGTTCTGCAGGCTCTTACGATTTAGGATTTAGGCTTGTAAGATGCTGGGGTGCAGGGTTTCGGGGATGTCTCCGCAAAGGGTGCTTTGCATGTAGTTGACAAGACCTTGGCCGTCGCTGAACGATGCATTGATGCCCAGCAAGCGTTGCAATGTCCGCCTCTCTCTGATTCTCTTCATATATCTTCAGATCATCATGAACCGGTGAACCGGGATCAGCGCCCGGCGACTCATCTCGAAGCTCAACCTGAGCGGGAGACACATTCTCCAATTGCTGCAAGCCACTACAGGTAGCAGCTACTTTGCTACATGCGACTTCACATCCAAATTCACACAAGCTTCCTGTAACATCTCCAAAGTCGGCTACAACAATTGGCTTACAGTGCTGACCTTGCGAAGCTTACTTGGCAACCCATCTCGGCTGTCGCAAGACCCAACCTCCTCCAAAACATCTCCAAGAGCAACAGCCGAGCTGCAGCAGGCAGGACAGGGCAAGGCGATCGGGCGACGCCATGGCGCAAACTTCACCTTGCAGCAACCGCACCAGTGCCACTTAACACTGCCAGTTTACCTAGAAATTGACACAAGTGCAAACGGACAAACACTCCCTGCCTTTATCCTGACGCTTCCTATCAGAGAAGATCACTACTACGACGATGGCTACTGCTACTGCCAGTCCTACTACGGGCATAACGAGTATGAGAACCAGGGGCGACAACATAACGACTATGAGAACTAGCGATGGCGACACTAAGACTAGCTATGTTACGAGAAGAACACATGTAGGCAGGAATGGCGACGAAAAAGATGACGATGATGACAATGATCAAGAGCAGGAAGATGCGAAGGAAGTCTCGCTTGTTCACGCAACAACATAAGCGAGATTCAACACCGAGATCGATGTGCAGGCCTGTGCTTGCAAGCCACGCATGTCCAGGATGCATGTCCAGAATGCATGTGCACAGGTACAACATTTTAGAATACCTTCAAGCAGGGCCAAAAAGCCCTTCGCACGATGACTTACAGTTACAGAACGTGTTTCCCTGGCACCTGCTGCTGGTGAATGCACTTGCTTACAATTTAGCTTCAGAGAATCTTTCGAGCTGAGAGCCCTAGTATCAACTTCACTTGCATCATGAAAGCCAGGATCGACTCACCGGAGACTGTGGCTACTTCCAAAGACGACGAGATGCTGCGAAAAGCATCGTTCAGCAGCGTCCACGCCAGCCTCGCGGAAACCATGTTGTGCTCATTCATCTCTAGGCCTCTAGGCTAATGACTGACTTACATGTCACCGCGTGGTGACACATCTTACTCACTGTCACAGACATCTGAATTGGTGCCCTTCCGGCACGCAGAGAATGTCACATCATCAGCGGCGTCCAGTCCACTTGTGCAAGTCTGAAGCATCCGACGAAATTGGGGTGACCATATGCATACAGTCACTGATCAACAAAAACAACATGAGACTCGGATGGCACAATTCCCCGCACACCGTCCTATGTTCTCTTGTTGCTGTGCAACACCGAAACCTCTGGGACCCTGGCGAAAGTACTGGCGCGTCATTGGACTCACTGCTGAGGAGCCAAGCAAACCTGGTCAAGGGCGTTCGGGTGATGGACTGCCGAGATGCGAGAGTAAAATTCTGGCTCGTGCAAGGCCCCGGCTCCGTAAGGTATGCCTCGGTGATCGCAGAAGGCTCGCAGATGGCTTTGAGACCGACTCTGGGATGGACACATAGGCAGGCGTGAGCTCCACATCGAAGCCCATTGCCCGCAAAAGCACCTCGTCAAATTCTCCAGCTGTGGCCTTGGCATCTGTGTAAAAACAAGTGAAGGTGCCTGCTCATACGTCACCACGTCATCACGCAGCGCCCAGTATGCCTCGCAGTTCCCACGTGGAGCCATTTCAAGTCACGCTCGATGTCTAAAGCCTTTCAACTTTCAACTGGTTCCACAGGGTGGTGCAGGCGACGCCTCCATGGGCATGCCTTTCTCATCCTGCACCCTGTCCAAGAAGATCTGGCCAGTGACGACTTGAACCAGCAAAGACAGTATATGTTTCGGGAAGATCCTTTCCGGGTGGCAAATGAAGAGCTTTACATCGTGAACCCCCCCATAAGAAAGATCAAAGAGGGACCTTCATTGGTTTTGAAACCCCTCCTGAACAACGCTTCCACCAAAGCTTCCACAGCCTTCCTCACCTCGATACGTTGGCACGTTTCCAAGTCCTTGAGCAAACCACCCCCTAACGTATTATGCCGCGGCGTACATGTTCGTGGCTTCCACAGCAATCTGCGCCCTTCCGCGGAGCAACCGCCTTCCGCAGCCCTTCCGACATAAAGTGCTGCTCATATGGTCGCAGCGCTCGACCTCCATAGACTGGACTAAACAATTTCGCCTCCAGCTCTCCTCACAGGTATAGCTTGCCACACTCCAAATCAGCTGGGATCACAACGCCGCTGGGCTTTGCCTCCTTGACACCAGGCCCCGAGCCCAGTGTCCGGCTGCAGGTGGAGGCAACGGGGCCGGGGTACAAGCCCGTTGAATTAAGAATTGGCCCATGGGGCCCAAGCTTGCAAGCAATCTAAAAACACGCCCGCCATGTACAACCCGTGCCCTGGACCCTTGCTAGAGGCGTGAACACACGGACTGCCTTTGAACAGGAAACAGCAACTGAGGAAGGGCAGTACGAAACTGCAGGGCCTGTAGGGGTTTCGCCCTGTCCTTGCACATACGGGTGCACCGGAAACTATGTATTATCCTGTTGGCGAACCTCGAAAGAGTTCACGATGTCCCGCAAGCGGCATGGAGACTCCCGCACCTGGACCGACAAAGTATCGATGCTGCTCCTGTCCTGACGATGTCTGACGCACAACCGACACCTCCTAGGTCTTTGAAGGCAGGCTGCACAGATATGCGCAGATCTCAGAACATCCCGACAAGGAGAAGTGCGAACCCTGGGCTCCAAGCCTTCGACGCCAACCACATGCAGGCGATTGCCAAGCGATGTGGATCAAAGTCGCCTCCATGACTTGCAGATGACTCCGTTTGCAGGTAGGTCTGAAATCGAACCCCGAGAACTCTTCTAAATCACTGTCACGACATGGGACGCTCACATCTGAGATCCGTGGCAGATACCAGGACGAAATCCAAACCTCTGGATGGTGCACCCTGCCGCTCGGACAAGCAGAAGCGCTGAAAGAAGTGCGCCGCCGTCGCTGTCGCCACCTGTCGCTCGAAGGTAGCTGAGCCTCTCCTCTCGACGCGAATCTGAGAAACCCGGGACCGTGTCCATGCCAAGGTCGGCAGCCACGGTCCACATGAGTCTGCCCCACTGTCGCCTCAGAGCTTTCAGGGCGTTCTTGCAGCAACGGTCCTTCTGATGTTGCAGCTACCGGAGCATTCTCGCACCTACCCCGGGCCCGCGGGCTTGAAAGTGTTCGAAGCCACAGGGCAAAACCAGACACACAACAGGAGAACCCACCTGAAGCTGGAGACTGCACCCGAAACCCTGGAGCGACCCTGAAACCTCAAGCTGAAAAGATGACGAACAAGGCACTCCTTGAGCAGCGCGGTCTCTGCAATATTCGCCATGGGCAAGCAGCGTCAGTGAACATCAGCGGCACCAGCTGTCAAGAGCATGTTGGTGCAAGAGCTTGCGTATGCTGGCAATAAGGCATGCTTCAAGTGTTTTTGCGTCCTATGGTACCTTGCTTCTATCCTGGGCGTCAAGCTGCTTGAGCTGCGAGCTCCTCGAGAAGTGCTGCAAGCCTACAAGTCCTGAGCAGGCCCTGAGTACATTAGGCCACCGGGCACGTGAAGGCTTCTCGTCCTGCGCATAACAGGTTGCGAAACTCGGCTGTGGCCGAGTTCCCAGAAACGGGTGTTCCGGCCTTCCGCTCAGCTGCGAGGCAACGAGACATGGCAACGCAGAGCTGCAAGCAGACCTGAAGACAGGGATTGGACTTCAGGTTTTCAGGGATCGTGCAGAAAGCCTGGAATGAATACAAAATAATCATCATGCGCATTCCGCCCCGTTGCGAATCGTGAAAGAACCCGCAGGTTCCAACCGCGATGCTCCCGGGAATTAAAGCCGATGCACTACTCCAGAAGTTCGATGCTCTCCGAAACGGAGCCACAAGCAGAATCGAATCAGACAGCTCCGTTCTGCATTTTCGTCTTGCAGAAATCCATGCACCTTCTTGGAGAGAGTCTTGTGCTCGGACAATTCATGAATTTGTCCAAACAATTGAAACACCTCTCAAGGAAGCATCAGCTTTGTGGTGTTGCCATACGCAAAGGGCTCTGCATTGATATCACACAACACGGTCTACAATCTTGCCACCAAGACGTTGCTGTCCATTCAACCCCGGTGGGTTAGCCTCTCTGCAACCTCTGCTCCACAGACTTGCGGAGACACCGCGGGCAAATGGACGGCTCTGATGCAAAAGGCTCTGTGTCGACACATCTCCCATACATTTCGTGCATGTTAATGAGGTCGTACCAGAGCTAGTGCACACCTGACTGTGTGCACTAGGCATGCTTTGAAAGCAAAATGCATGACGCCCGGCACCTGAATCCTGATGGGAAGAGGTGACTGAAACAGCGACACTTATATCTTCCCCCCCCCCCCCGTTTCTGGACCGCCGGCGCGGCAACATGACACAGGCTACCTGGGAACGTTTACGCCAGCCGCGAGCTCTCGGGTTAGACTGACGATTGCCAAAATGACCGAGGGACTGCGCCTGCTGGGCATGACAGCTCTCGAAAAGACGAGGGCGCATCTTAGCCAGAAATGCAGAGGCGGGTCAAGAGGTCGTAAGACTCTGGTCAGCAGCTGGGCGACCGAAGCGCACACCTCCATAGCATCCCAGCCATAGTAAGTCGGTGCCTCATAACGTGAATGTTCAGCTTGAACAAGGAAGTTCACCCTACATCCACTAGACTGTAAGTGTTGCACCGACTTTAGGACACTGATTCTGCTGTCACGATGTCTGTGCATCTGCGAGAATCGCTGCATTGGAATGGAAAGTCACTCTAAACTCAAATGCCCAGAAAATAGCAGTTGTTGTCCTGGTCCAGGTACGTCGTATAGACATGGACATGAACTAGACTAAACGTGACTAAACAGTGTTACCGATACATCTCCCTGCAGCTCTCCAACTTCAGCCAAGCCTCTCGGGCCGGGGAAGGTCTACCGTGGTCGTTTCGCGTGAAGATGGAAGAAGCACTAGCAGCTCTTCAGTCGGGGTGTCTCTGTGTGGCTCGAAAGCCTCGAACGACCTTGTTGGAACCTCTTGGAGCCCATCTCCCGCACCCAGGGACACCCTGCATGCTCAGTGTGCCTCCCCGTCACCAGACACCCGCGCTTCGACCAGGCAGCCTTCATTAGCTTCAAGGGGCATGCCGCTTCTTAACACAGCATGCCCCCTCCACTCGGGCATGTTTCTCTCCGCCTCGATCGTTCGTGGGCTTGTCTGCCTCATGAGTCTCATGTACGATGGCTAGCTGGCATTGCCGTGTACCCTTGAAAGTCGAAGCCAAAAGAACACTCCGAGGGTCGAAGGCCCTGCTTCTGTCAGCAGGGCCCATGCCTTGACGTGCCACGGTTCGATTTCGGGAACGCACAGCGCAGGACTTAGGGACTTTAGGTTTTCAGACACTCCTCTTCGGATACACTGAAGCACTAGACTCTCTGCAGCCAGGCCATTGAGCAACAGTATCCAGCCCACATCGAACCATGGAGTCTGTGATCCGCATGACACCTCGCCGTTGAACGAGCTACTTTATGCGATCTCTCCAGAAATGCTTCCCTACGAACCTGTGTTCAAGGACGGTGCATGCTGCTGTCTTGCGATGGGCATGTCTGTCCTCAAGGCACACCCATTACCTTGCGTCGAAAAACGGTTTGTGCATCAGAAAAAGTCTTGGAAGTTGCAACCCCCCCTTCTCTTCTCATGTGGAGCCTTGACAAGCAGGGTAGAGGTTGGCAAACGTTGAGATGGGCTTACCCGAAACCCGGAGAATGGAATTTGGAAGTGCAGATCGACTGCCGCACGTCACAAGACAGGTGCAATCTGATGACAGCTCTGATAGTGGGGTGAAAGCTTCCATGACTTGCAAAACGGCTTCTGAGCACTTGCCGCACGAGCTCCAAGCCTGCACAGAAGTGCCCCTGGCTGCTGCACATGGACACTGTAATTGACGTCATCCGCTCATCGTCACTACAGTCCACCCCGTCCATGTGCGGGCAGCTAGTTCGCACTGCAACGAAAAGAATGCAGCGAATGCAGCATTGAATGCAGCATGTTGCCGGAAAAAAGCGGCCCACAGGTCTGCGCAGCTCCTCTGGCCGGCTGGACCTCTGCAGCAACGTTGAACCGCAGCGTGAAATCAAAGATGGCCGCTGCAGCCATCCTTTTCTTTACCAAGCATGAACTGCGAATCTGGTCAATCCGCACTGGCCGCATGGGCACGATTGTGCCCGAAGTCGCAAAAGGTGAAAATTCAGAGAAGCACCACTTCCTGATGGCCCTCGCCACTGGCTAAGAAGTAATAAATTCCAATAGGCCGCATTCAGCCCATGACAATCCCATCAGCAAGGTCAACATAAGAAGCAGGGTCTCACAGCTGTGCCTCAATTGAGGTGAGGCAGCGCATTTACGTTGATCTGGAGCACTACAAAGCTCCAGTTTCCTAGACGTGCGACAGTAAGTGCCACGGAAGTTCCGTAGCAATTCATGTCGCACTACAAAATGCCTGCTACCATGCAGCGTGTTCCCTGGCAGTCCGAGTTGTATTGTTCAATTGTTCAGTCTATCGAACTATCGAGCTCCAGCTTGCCTCCGCAGACAACATGCTAAATCCCAGAAGCAGCAGGTAGATGGTGGGGTGATCATCTCGCAGCGAGCCCTACCCAAAAGGCACGTAGAGGTGGAGTACTTGGCCGTTTGAGGGGCACAACTGGAAGCATACACGACTTGGCTCGCCTGAAGTTAAACCATCCCAGAGGTGACTCTGCATTGAAACGAAGGACGTAACTCAACCTTCGCAGCTGGCACCACATTCCGCTGTACTGGGAGACCTGCAGCTGAATCAACGCACTGGCGCAAGAGCATTGCAGCGGGGCAAGACCTGCATCGGAGAAGAACGAGAGTTCACGTGCCAGGAGCCTATACTCTTGAAGTGCCCGCTGGATGCCGCGCCACGGCCTGGCCGGTCACAGCTTGGGAGGATTCCTTGCCTTGTTGCACGACTTCGACCGATGCCAGGGTCTTGACGTTGGCCGCAATCGACTGCCGTGAAATCACCTGCCAAAGCAAAATTTGATACCGTGAGAACTCTGTAAGAAGGGAACTGCCGGTGTACAGCCAACAACTCGAATCCGCTTTTCATTCTGTACTGAAGGGTACCGACTCCGAACGCATATGGACGTTTAGGAAGACGCACAGAAAGCAGTTGGGGATTTGATTGCGCTTGGCTGCAGTTTGACGCCTTAAACAAAACCGATTCAAGCAAGTGCTCTTCGGTGGCCGAACGTAGGATGCAGTCGGGTGCAAGCCGGAAAGTATGTAGTTCTCTCTTAGGAATCGGCATGGATTGGTCAATTTGGGATCGCTTGGCAGGCAGCTATGCTCCTTTTCGAAACCTGTGCAAAGAAACAATCGTTAATTTGCGGTCCACTCAACTTCAGTGTGGCGATGCAAAACTCAGCCATCCATGGGCATGCTCGGTCACCGCAGAACAGATTGGGGGTGCTGGCCTTCTCAACAGTACACTTAACTCGCAATCTTTTCGCCTGTGCGCCGATCGCGGCCCTCATCGGGTCGCGACACCAAGATCCCACTGAGCGCGCAGCGGCGCAGCGGATCTCATGGCAGCGGGTCGAACACGCACGAGTTCCGATCGCTGGGTTAATCGGATCGGTGACCGCGTCGGTCGGCTGAGACGACACCTACATTAAAGTCAGGTGAGGAGGGAATCTCAGTCTGTCTTTCTAAACCCTATCTCGAAACCCCAAACCCAAGGCAGAAAGTCATAAACCGCACTTTTAAGCCCAGCTCCCTCAGCCCGAATCCCAAGACACGGCCTCCTGAAAACTCGCACCGCGTTAAACCACCAACTTTGTGCCTTGAACCCCAAAAAACTAGACTAACTAGACCTAAATCCCTGACTCCTAAACTCCTAAACCGCCGAAATAACACTAAAAATCCTGAGCCCCGAATCCCAACACCCTGAAGTCTCAGCCCTCGACTTGGACCTCCTGAACTCAACAAGACCTTCAACCCTGAAGCCGAAACCCCGGAACCCTGAACCTCAAGAATTCTTGAGCCCTAAACCCTTGCAAGAAAGCCTCCTAAACCCTAAATGCGAGCCCCCACTCCCGCCACAAAAGACGCGCCGAACCTGAAAATGAGCCTACACCCTAAACCCCTGAGCCCAGCTGCTTGAGCTCTACACCCTGAAACCTGAGCTCCAAACCCTCCCAAGCTTTAGATCCTGAACCCTCCAACCTTACAACCTACAACGTTTCTCCTGGGTTCTGTCTGATCTGCTTCGTCCGTGTCTGATCTGATTCTTGTGGATGCCTGTGGATGCGTGCGCCTTTGATGTGCGGGAGTGGCGACACGTGGTCCGATCCCGACTGACTTCATCTGCCAATGTGGCAAAGTCAACAAAGACTGCATGGCCGGTTCGATTCAGTTTGACAGACGGTGTTACTTTGCTTCTGGATGAAAACTGTTGGACTGACTCACCTGCGATCTGAAGCAGGCCGGTCGGTTAACCAAGAACGTTGAACTTAGCATGGTCGGCTTTACACGCTCTCTGCCCTGTCCTCCCATTCTGCGTTGGCGTGTTAGTAAGCGCTTCGTGTCCTTTGACCGTACATTGCTTGCTGACATCTGGGCACTTTTCACCAGTCGATCATACCCTCTTGAGTGGCAGCCATGGCTCTCCCGCAACGAAATTACCGCCGCCCGAAGCCCACACCCCAGTATGCTTTGCTACATACTGCTTATTATATATTATATGACGCACCGTAACAAGCTGTGCATTGTATAATGCTGTACATTCACTGTATGTTACATCACATCTTACTGTGTATGATGCATTGTCTACAACTTCATACATAGAGCGGAACAGTTGAACAAATCCCATGGAGCGATACCTGAACGCACAAAAAACAAAACATAGTCAAGCAAGCTGGTTGCAGAAGGTGTGCAAAAGAATTTGAAACGACCGTGGCAATGCACAAAGAAAGAGCAATGAAAAAAGACAGAGCATTTGAAAAACGTAAAGGAAGACAAGAATTAAGAATGCCTTTGTGAAGGAAAAGGCGCAGAATGGCAGACGATACGGAAAAGACTATGGAAGACGACTCTCTTTCTAGCCATAAGCTATACTATATGATATATGTACTGTCAAGTTTCACCAACAACTCTACAAAAACTCTCGCCCCGTTTTGTGGGATAACTAGGTACAAGGTACTGCATAGAACATGAAATAATGTCGTCGGATGGGATTGGGTTGCGGATAATGTTATGTTAGGGGAGGTTGGCATGGTGAGGTTCATGGGCACAATGAAGAGTAAGGTTAGGAGTGGGATATACTGTTTGTATAGAGTGGTATGGTCCGGTCCCCTCGCTCCGAGCGCTGTTCTTGCCAGAGGTTCTACAGGAGCAATACTTCTTGGTGTCCGCCGTACGCATGGTTTTGGGAAAGTTGCAAAAATGCACACCGTAGCACTGCCCAACACATCTGGCGGATGCTTCGGCCGGTACTTGACCAGAATGAACAGTCAAGAGGAGAAGCGAGCCTCAGCCTCAGAGACGTAGCCATGCCACCGCTCGCAAGTCCTCCTCGCAGTCCTTCCTGGAAGGAGCAGCGTGGTTCCCTTCACTGGCAATGGTGAATATGTACATTGTGCTCCCGTTGAATTATCAGAACCAAAGACCGGATGTTGATGAATCCTTGAACAGAATACGTCTCTCAAAGCAAGAACCTGTGTGTCCTGGACTCACTAACGTCATGCTTCTCTGTCTTCGCAAAGGGCTCCTGCGCCAGACGAGGCCTACTCACGCTGCATGCTGACACTTGTCACGAAACGACCTCACAACAAGGATCCGGGTGAGCGAAGCGGGGTGAAGCGGATCAACCAGTGACAACTGCTTCGGGGATGGCTCCCGTGTTGGCAGTGGAACTGGAGGCGCGACATGCCCAAGCGCCATGTTTTGACCTGCACAGGTTTTGGTGTATACAACTGCAGTTGTCGAAGGTAACTAAAAGTATGGTGTGCTAGACTCTGGACTGCGTGGCGTCTGCACGGTTCTTCGGAGGCTGCCTTAAAAACTTGCTTATGCGCTTCTTTGCTGTAGACTCTGCACAAGAGCCGTTCTACTATGTTCGGCGCACTGCTCGAATCACGCCCTCCTATTCACAAAGCATGTTCGTCTGGAATGTGGTACTACACTGCTACACCGACCCAAACCAACTGCCTTCGATAACAGCCTGCATTCTTTGCAGAGTTGTTCCCAGAGCAAGGATCTGCTCTCCGACTGCCATGACCTGGAAAACAGAGCTGAAGTCCGCGGTACTCCAAAAAATGCCCCGCACGAGAAGCCGGCATCGGTCGTGTTGAGCATCGGCACGGTCTGAAGAAAAGAGAAGGGTCCCTTCTTCTTGCACTTTGATGCACTTTGCACGCTCTCTGGGCTCTTTGCATGGGGCCTTCGCAGCCTGGAGGGCCTGGCCCGCTTGGAGCCACTGAGACGGGGAGGGGCCCGCCTGGCCCCCGCCCGGGCCCGGGGCCGCCTGGCAGCGCATTCGCTTTCGCTCTCGCCGCTTTTNNCCCCCCCCCCCCCCCCGCTGCGTGAAACTGCGTCGGCTGAGTTTTGGGCCTCGGCCTGGCTGTGCTCTAAGCCTGGTGGCGCCCGGCCGGCGGACCTCGAGGAGAAAGCGCACTTTGGACTCACCGCCTCTCGCTGCTCTCGGCCTGTTGGCTGTAGCCTTCCGTCCCTTCGCCTGGGCAGAAGCCCCGTGCAAACACCTTGAAGGCAGATCAGCCCGCCTTGTTGTTGGACTGCTGGGCTGCAACCTCGTGCATCACCTGCGGTGCAGTGCAGAACCCCCCATCATCCCCGCACCTGCCTCAAGAGGATTGCATCCAGTCGCCTCATTGCCTTTCGCACGAAGGGCAGTGCGCAAAACGCTTATTTCCTGCCGGGTGTGCAGAAGTTCTCCAACGATGCGCAGCCGAAGCCTACAGCTTCAACTGTGAACGCCGTTTGTCACACACCTGTCCTTCGGTGAAGTCCTTTGCTTTCGAGCTGCTTTTTTGGACGGTTTGGGAGGCTGCGCCTGTGCCTCAAAAAGCAAGCATTGATCTTGTACTTTCGGCTGCACGAGGTCCGGACGGTCTGGCCAGTTGCTGTGCTTTTCGAACCTTGGTGAGGCTGCCGGGCTGCTCGGCAAGCGCAAATGAATGTGGTGCATGCTTCTCTTGCCGCCTGAGCCCTGTGCCGGAACGAAGTCTTTCTTTCTTGTCTGACTTGGATACTGGGGCCTGCCAGTGAGTCGAGCCGGCCGGCCACACAGCAGCCCCGAAAGCGTTCGCCTCGTGGTCGGAGGAGCCGACATCAGTGGACAGAACGTCCTCGAAAGAGTTGCTTGCCTTCACCAAACCTCAGGCCGCACGGCGGTACGTGCTCAGGAACTACAATTCCAAGAGCATCTTCATGCAGGATGCCAGGTTTCAACGGCAAAGTAGTATCGGAAGCTGTCATCGCAACTGTCCTTGCCAAAGACAGACCAACCCGTCAGGATGCAAGAGCGCGTCTGACTGTGATTGCTCGCTGACCAAATCGCAGACCTCTAAAGTGGTCACAGGAGCAGGCAGCCAACGATTTAAAGATTCTTCGAGCCGGAAAGCTGCAGGCAAACCCTGTTAATGGCGTCCCAAACGTGTGAAACACTGTAGGCAGGACAGCCCATGTTGGATGCTGTGGCTTTTCCGAGGCACAAGAGACTCACATGGAGGCAGCGTGAGCAGTGCCTGACGCGAAAGCCCCGAGAGGCGCTGCAGAGTGTCGATCCTGGCGCTCAAAAAGGCTCAACAACACGCACTTACTTGTGATTTATAGGGCGCAGCGGGATATAGGCATTCCCGCAGGCTATCTGGCGTGCAGCAGAAAGGCATTCTTCACTTTTTGGAGAGCTGCAAGGCAGAAGCCATTGAAAATCCCTTCACCGGTGAAGTCCTGGACTCTCACTCAACTCGTACACGACCCGAATGTTCAGGTCACATTCAATGTGAGACAGCGTACGGGCAACTGGTGCTTTGCTTTGCAAAAACTGCTGCAAAGTCCCTATCCTCTTCTGCCACACATGATGGAGTCAACGCTGAAGACACAAATCCAAATGCCAGACGAGGCACCATTCTCTCAGGTGGCTCACGCTGCCCACACCTCAGCACACAGCAATCGCAGATCAACGGAGGAGTCCCTGATCTTCGACCCCCAATCTTGGGTCATGACGCCCGGAGCGCCACAAGTCTCGGATGCTCTTGATGACGCCCTTTACCTGCTTTCCAAACGTGCTGATTGCGCTCAGACCTGCCACATGAACGGCTAAACACGAATTCCCAACTAGCTGCTTTATGGTGGTTTTTTCGGTTGGCTGCACGTATGAGTGCACAGCATAGGAAGATGCTTGGTATTCTTGAAGCTCCAGCGTCACTCGGACGCAGAAGGGATTGGCACTTGTCTTTCGAGGGTCTTACTACCCTAACTCGTGTCCTGGCGTTTGCAAACTAAGTTTGGGCAGCTATAAGTACGACTGAACTTCAGCCGACTTCCAGTCCAACACGCCTGAACACTCTCCCTTCACGAGAGTATGTCCATGAATCTAAGGGTTTGCTAGGCCCCAGGCAATCCTAAACCGACCTGCACCCTGCAAAGTCCCCTGTAAGCCCTCCAGGTCCTATAAATTTCCAGAACGAACTGGAAGCCTTACGATCAAGAATCAGGGGTCAGAGGGCAGTAGGCATGCTCAAATTATTCTTCGAGTGTGTGTGTGTGTGTGCTTACCGACTCGATGCTCATCAGTTCATGACGCACACTACGGGATCCGGAACAGATCTGCAGAGCTTGAAAGCATGAAACTCATCAGCACGATTGCGCTTGCACACAGCTTCCGACATATGCCCAACAGCCATCCAGTTCAACCCCAGATTGTCACACAGAGTTGTCGACACGAACACAGAGCATCTGCGAAGGGCTCAAGAACGTGGAAGCCAGCTGCTGCGAAATGCTTCCAAGCTTACCATCCGTCATCTTAGCCGGGCCTCTTTCAGTCGCTGTGAAGGAACATCGCTCAAGTCCCCGTAGACCTCCTGCCCTGCCAGCCGAGAAACTCTGGTCGCAAATCACCAAAAGGCCCAGTCTGTGCTGTTGGTTCGCCACGCTGCTGCGGAAAACAAGCGCAAAACTCAAGACACGAAATCCAGCTTCGGCATGGCTGCTAACAGCTACACTTGCGGAGGTTAAGGCGCTTTTCGGTCTGCACGCCTTCCGTGGTCGCAGACCTGAGTCACAGTACACGGTTTGCAAGGGATTCCCTTGCAGCAGATTGCACACTTTGGAATCTCATCTGTGGAAGTTGCAAGCCCGTCACTGCGGAGGTGTTTTCTTCTCAAAGACCGATTGTGTCGATGGCGCAGTAGATTGCAAAGCCTGCAGGTCCAAAGCCTGATTCCAAGATGCAGGCTTGGTCCGGTTGAACCCAACTTATCACGGTGATTTTTCTCTCCACGGGCTCGCCTCGAAGCTCTGGCCGGCTTGCATGATTATTCCTCAGCACAACAAACAATTCAAAGCCAGCAAATTTCGTTGTCGAGCCTTCAAGACATTGCGAACTCATGCTGGCCCAAGAAGTCACAGATTTGTCTAGAACGAAGGGATCTTCTACGCGGCGCATAAGCTGCTGCCCGTCTCCAAGCACTGTGGCCCCTGCTAGAACGGGAAGCGGGCGACAAGCGAGAACACGGTCCTGAACCCCAGCCATGATCCTCAGCACTCCTATGTCCAACTAGGTCGTGTCAGAATGTCTTGATCTTACTTTTGGCTCGGACAATCGATCATGGCAACAGCTGTCCGACCAATGTTAATTCAACATGCTTTATTATTACTCGGTCCTTCAAGCCTAAACACCCAAACATGCAATATCCCGGCATCATCAACAGCATCGAAAGCAACACCTGCTACAGCAACAGCAACACTCATGAACAACAACGCAACACTCATGAGCAAAAACAATGTTCAATGTGTTCGAGGGCATGAAACATGCTACACTCTCTGCATTATTTGTGTTCATGCAAATTTTAAATCGGAGGCATGTTGATTATTGAAGAACTGTATGAATAAACGTGCAAACATTTTGGACAGAACAAAACAAAAACATTATCCCGGAGATTGCTTCACTAGCGAAAGCAAACTCTCTCGTGGGGAAGCTGTTTCGGCACAAGAAATCCAGACAGGCCAATGGCGAGTAACAAATCCATCTCGGAAGCTTTGTTACGACCGCGAAACATCATTGTGGCCGAGAAACGTGTTTTGGTGGCAGTGTGGAGAAGCTAATTCCAGCCTTTTTTGGTTTTGAAGAACAAGATTTTTTTATGGAGCGTGAGGCAGAGCTCCCAAGAAACCTGACAAGAGTTGAGAACAGTTTATTGTTCTGAATCCGTCTGCCCGCGGAACTTCCAGGAACTGCACCCATCTTTGCCAAGAAAGGTTTGAACATCACTAACAGAGGCAAATCACGGCGGAACCGGAAAAAACCCAATTGTGGAAGCGCTCATTTTCATCTTTTGGGACAAAGAGATATATGGGAGAAAGGGGTTATTGAAGCAAGGAGCAAAATAAGTCAGAAACGACCCAAAAGCGGCCTCTTCGAGTCAGAGAGACTTCGCGGTCACTTCGTGGTCACTACGCGGTCACTACGCGGTCACTACGCGGTCACTACGCGGTCACTACGGTCACTACGCGGTTACTACGCGGTCACTACGCGGTCACTACGCGGTCACTACGGTCACTACGCGGTTAAAAAG